GCTTCAAAATAGTGTTTGCATACAAAATATTTATAATAGAAAACTGCAAACAAATAAGAAAAATAATGCATTTTGAATGTTTTTGCATATTACAGTTGAAGTCACTTCTCGTAGCTTTACAGTCACTCCTCGGCGGGTCTTGCAAACACAACATTTAACCGGAAGTTGGAAATTACAACATATCACATTTCAACCACCCTCCCCTAGGACCTCTTGTTGTCCTAATTTTTAGGAGGTCACGTGACCAGAGGGAACCAGGGTCTTCGCCGGAGCCCGAGCATAGGTAAAAGACCCTGGCTTGCGAGGTTGTAGGAACTGCTGGATGTTCTTTCAGTGGACTACCTATTAAGAAAATATAAAATTTTCCAGATAAAAAAATTCCAGTAAAAAGTAATGACCTGTACAGTACAACACTAGTACCGATACAAACTATTGCTAAATTGAATAATACACAATATTATTGCCATAATGTTTCAAAATATATAACTACCTTGTTTATTCAGTTTGAAATAATGGTGAATGGTTTCTTGTCTGGTACTACGTGCCTCTTGCCTGGCGACTTTAATGATTAGGCCATCACATAAGGCTAAAAATATGCCTAGAAAGTGACTTTCGTTGCACACATCGGGAGGCTAATGATTTATTTCATAAAGTAGTAGAGGAGCATGCCAAATGAAATAATAAAAAAAGCCCCCGGTCGTAAGTGTGCGCAACAACGAGAAATCGACTATATTCTGGTGATGACATCTATATTTCCGAAAGGTAATAATGTTCGAATTTTGAAAAATGTTTATTGTCATCAGATTGAGGTGCATAATTGGACAAAAAAACTATATTACACTGAAAACTTTCAGTCGTTCGTTACCGAGATATCACGTTCCAAAGTTTTTAAAAATGCTGAGTCAGCATTTTTGTTTCTCCAGTAAAGCTTATATTGACAGACTGTATGCAGGGAAAGGGCTTATTTTGCACTAGTACCTTAAATTGTGCACCACAGTGTGTGAATTAAAGTGGTGATGCAAGTCGGAAAACTAAAATGCGACTAAAACATTCAAATTGTTTACCCGTCATCTAAAGCCTTTGAAAGAAACCAGCGAGGTGAAATCTGTTGCACATGTCGCCAGACTAACTAATTTCACCATGATCAGACAGTTCTTTTGGAGTAGTTCTGATATTACATGGCCAAATTTTACCAATGCATGCTGCACACAAGCAAGCCATGACTTATTACTCAACAGGCACATTACTCAACAGGCAATATCACCGAACATCGAAAATCTGCTATTAATTCCACTCTGTAGAATAACTGCTTTACAAGAAATTCGTTTGGTAAAGTTATTCATTCAGCTACAGGCAGCCAAGGGTCCATAAGCCACTTCACAGTGGCTAGCTTTTTCTTAAGCAATATAGAAGCATGATACAGAATTTGTAGTTTGATCATTCAATATGGACTGTGTAGCGCTGTGATTATCATCATATCCCATGTTGTACAAAACCATTGAAGTTGTTTCACATGATGTCTTATCCTGTCCATACAAATAGTTATTTATTATGGTACTTAACCTCAATGGCAACACAATCTTTTCCACAATTTTTAATAAGATCCTGTAGTTGTCCTTTTTCTTTGTGCCAGCTTCGCACAATAGACCTGCATCTGAAGTCTCACACGCAACAAAGGTTATTCTTCACGGGTAATAATTTTGGAATAAATATTATTCAAGTGATTATTTTGCTATGTGATCGCTGTACCATTTACTAGCAACTGTATAATGATTTCATTTAATGATAAATATACCACATAATTACAATGTAAGACATACCATGACAAACAAATCGGATTGTTTCTCGCATATTCAGCATACTGGGGGCAAAACATTTGGTGATCTAGCCTTCATGTCACTATTTTGGGGACCATCATTGTCAAGTGATGAGTGTAAAAGCTTCTTTGGTGGAACAGTCTGCAACTTCACAGCCAATTAAGATTTCACTGCCTCATGTTCTCTTTTCCTCCACTTTTTGCAACTTGTTTTAATCACAAAGTCGTTTATAACAGTTCTCATGGTAAAACCAGTCCAGTTACCAGTGCCTCCTGAGGCCCCCCCCCATTTAATTTTTTAAGTGGGGCGTTATTTTTTCAAACTTAAGTTGGGGGTGGGAAAGAAAAAAATTTTTCAAACCATATTCCTTAAAAATAACAATTTTTTCCCTGTGTATGTCTACTATAAAGGGGGTCCGAATTTCACAATTTCACCAATTCCTGCTTTTGGGGGCCACCTGTTGCAAATTTTCTGACCCTATACAACTGAGGCTCAGGCCAATTTTCCCAATGTACTAGCAAAATGTTTATGGTCATTTTTTGTTGGGGGGGGGGTCATGGTAGCCGCTTCTGGGCACCCAAACACCCTTTGAGTTCCCCACATCAGTTAAAGCGTGAAAAATGCCTTTCTACATTGGGCTATCTATTTAATATCCACATCCCCCTCCTGTCGATAAGGTCAGTAAAATTTTAACTCCCAAGAAAAAAAAGATCAAAGTGCTGACAGCCTGACACAAAACCCCTCTGACATTTGTAAATTTTCCCTTACTCCTCAGAACAATAAAAAACATCAAAGTATGCCGACAGGCTTAACCGCACAGAAATGACTTTGGGGTCACCCTTCAGAGAAATTCATGCAAAGAGGACGGGGGGGGGGGTCTGGACATTAAAGATGCGGTACAGTCCGATCTGTGCATGTGCACAAAGGAGCCCTCTTTTTATTATACAAACAGTAAAAGCGTAATTGTTGTGTCTTGATAATTTATTATACTCTAGAATCGTGAAAATATAAATAGTTGTCGAATGAAATTCAATGTTTTGGATACCAAGATGTAAACAAAGCCTTTGTTTACATACAGACTGTACCGCACTTTAAACTTAATGTACACCCCGCCCCTATCTATATCTATATCTATATCTATATCTATATCTATATATATATATATATATATATATATATATATATATATATATATATATATATATATATATATATATATATATATATATATATATATATATATATATATATATGGTTACTGTCCGGGGGAGGGGGGATGTCCAGGGGGAGGGGGTGGGTGGGCTGAAAATCCATCATTTGGCTGGACATCCTTTGCGAATGGCCCCTTAGTGATATCACTAATGATTATTGTTCAACAAACATATAATGTGTTTTTCAAGCACAATTCATGCATGTTTAACAATTTATTTAATGTAAATTATATATAGTTGTGAGCACTGGCATTTGCCAAATTTCTAACTAAAAATAGCTAGTATGAATTAATGTATTTAATTGTTCATAGCCGTTCACTACCTCTATTCTCATTGACTGATTGTACAAAAACCGGCTTTCAAAGTGAACAATGTCATCTGTAAATTAGTTTTCATTGCCGGCAAGAAATTTGAGATTTTAGGTGCTATTTTTATGGATGTGACAGAGTGAATAAGGAAACAATATTAATAGAGAAATAGCTTAAATAGTCAGAACATTAATAATTAATTCACTCATTCACATCGATCAGAAGCAAATTGCAACATAAATTCCGAGTATGAGCAATTTACATCTAACAATGCAAGTAACACCCAAATTTCTGCTACTTAATGTATTGTCTCATTTAATGTTATTGGGGTTGAAATCAGTTTATTTTGTTTTCTTGGTTGGTTCCTTTTCAGGCAAAGGCTCTTCACTTACACCATACCACTTACTTTTCTTGCCAGGAGGCCGCCCAGACACATTTCCTTGCACAGATTGGGGTGCAACATCTCAGTGTTGCGATCCTTAAACTATTGTAGCCAAACTCAGTTGCTGTTGGGTGTCACTTCTTTGCCCTTGTGCATGCTGGTAGCCAAAGTACTCCTCTACATCATCCTGGCAGAAACGTTCTGTTAGGACAAACTCAAAGCCTTCACTTAACAAAAATTTGGTTGCAGCAATGGCTGAAGTGACCGTCATCTTCAGTCCATTGAATGTTTGTTTGGTTATAAACATAAGTCCTCTGTCATCATTTGAAAAATCTCCTCTTGCTTCAGTTGACGATTTCCAATTTTTCAAATAATCCAGAAAGATATTCTGCAGCCAATCAAATTACTCATCATCTCCACGTTGGTATGGGGCTAGCAAGGCATTGCGCTTCTTCTGATGCTCAGTTGTGGATCTGACATTCATGCAGTCGAAGAAATCATTCATCATCTTGCATAGCCTAGCAGTTTCACCTGCCTCTCCTGATGAATAATGGTGCTCGAGAGCTTGTGCAACTGCATTGCTCAACACTTGAACAGCCAAGCTGACTTTCATCTTTGAATATGACTTCAGGATGATGTGATCAACAGTCAACTTGGGAAGCTGATGTAAACCGGAGTCAAGATCAGAATAATACAGCTTGGCGATGTGATCCAAAAGCATGTACTGCTCATTGTTCCACATTTCCCATGTGTGCTTGCCACTGCCAGAGTTAAAAAGACAGTTTCTCGTTGTCTTGAGCAAATGTGGAGTATCTGAGAAAAAGGAAATGTTCCTGCCTGGAGCAAAGAGGTTGGGTGTGTAATTTACCACGTCCACAAAATCAGCATGCAGTTCGTAAAAAAGGCGATTAGGCGAGGCTCCATCAGAGACTGATACTGCTTTCCAAAACAAGGGCATTATCTGATATGATGTAACATCTTTGGTCAGAAAGTAACCAAGGGTATATATATCTTCTTCAGATGGAAGAACAAAAAATACCTGGGCATGTGTTGCAACGTCAGATGATCCACTGCTGACATTCAACTCTTCTTCTCCAAGATCAACAAAGCCAATCAGTTCAATGGAGTGTTTGTCAAATACCAACTTTGACTGGATTTTCATATCATCAAATGAAATAATAACATACCTCTGGATGTCAAAATATTGGCTTGTTTGATTCCTCAATCTTTCAATATTTTCTGGATGGAAACCTGCCCTTGGTTTGAAAAGATTCCGGTAGTCCCTCAATGTTCTTTCACTTGGAAGTACTAAAATACCAGAATCTTGCAGTTCTCCATAAGCCGCTGGGGACTTGGCACGAACAGACAGGCAAAAACGGATAATGTGAGGGTGGTACCTTCGTCCAAATTTTGGCATTGATAGTAGTTTTCTTTGTTGCTCCCAGAAAACTTTCATGTGTGGGGTTACTTTGTCACCACCATCAGCGAGAATTGCCAAGATATCTTTCTCCATGGTCTCATCAATAGGAATGCTGTTCCTTTCAATTTCTTTTTCCAGTTCAGCAATCCGACCTTCAAGCTCCTTGCAAACAATCCTTTGCTTTTGAACAGTGGCAACCAATCTTTCCTTGCTTGAACCAGACAGAGGTGTGTTACTCTTGAGTGGCTCAACTGTTCGCTTGGCATTACTCTCCTTCATTTTACCAAGGGATCTTTCCTGCTTCATGCAACTTGCACACAAAATGTCATTGCAAAGCAACTCACAGTTTTCAGACCGGATGAAAACATGAGCCTGAAATGGTGGACCATCCTCTTCATAATGCTTTCTCTCAATGGGAATTGTATGTCTCACAAGACAACTGGAACCCAATCGGCTGGGATCTTCACACATGGCATTGGTGTGTTCATCTTTAGTGAGACCTTCACAAATTTCAGCTCCTTCCAAAGTGGACATAAGGGCAGAAATGGTGGTATGTTTCAGTGATCTCTTGTGGTTATTATAGATTGGATGGCTGTCTGGTAAGAACCAGTTATATACATACACAGAAAAATTAAGGCCTGTAGCAACTGATAAGGCTAATTTTGGTAGGGTATAAGGTGGATGGAAAAACTCAAGAACCACAGTATCCTCATCTTCTGTCTCGGGCCATCCTTTCATCACTAAAGACAATACTTTTTTTTAAATGTTTCAAGTTGCGATACACCACTGGAACAGGAAATCAATTTGCTGCCGCACAAGTTTGTGTTTGGTGATACAGGAGGAGGGACACTTTTCACTGGAAGATTTAGTGAAGGTACTGCCCCATGAGTTGGTCTCTTACGACTAGAAACTAAAAAGAAAAAAGACCTAAATTTGAACAAGCACTTTTACTTTACCTGATTGAGCTACATTGATGCCATGCACCTTACTTTAGTAATGCAAATATATGAAAATAACACACACCACCCAAGGAAAATCCCTAAAATCAGAATGATATATACCCCTCGCATAGTTTAATAGTATCCCTGCACAAGATTTAAACTAATAAACCTTTGTACACAGTTTGTATTAAAAATATAATATTAAAAGTCATATAATATAACCTTTGCTATATATTATCATGCAATATCGTAAAAGTCGATAAAATACAACTACATATACCTTTATTTTTATTTATTTACAGCATTGATTTATAGGATTTATGCCTATATGTAATGCTTTCATGACAAAGGCATACAACTTAACATGTAAAGCTATAACATGTATTAAAGCCATAAGAATGTCAGGTTTTATGCTTTTGTCGCCGTTGAAACGTCAAACTGCCCAAACAGCTTCCAAATGACTCGTTCAATTATTATATGACTGAATCAAATTACAAATACTATAAACAAGCCTTCTTTCTCACAGCTCTATTTTGAGATATATATATTAAACGTTTTAATACCCTTTTTTGTCACGCTTTGTCTTTATTTCTATTCTTGTGAATATGAATATACTACACAGTTGAATTGAGCAATCATCAATCCTCGAAGATTATTGTAATTTGAAATGAAAATGAATCCAATTTGCATACAGAAGATAGAGGTCTATTGTTTGAGGGTATGTGACACATATATTATCGTGAAAACCGCATTTTACTCCAATGCTCTGCTGCTTCATGCGCAATATCAATTAATAAAAAAATAGAATACACTTATGACAATCATATTCTTCATTTTTAAAGTGCTTCTCGCAGACATACACGTTTCCGCTCTTGATTTGTCGTCGCAAGCTATCGTCCACAACACGGGATTATGCTTATCCAGGCTTTACAAGTTTTCTTTGACAATTCGTCTGTTTCTGTAGGAATTCGGAAAATTCCGACTCCAATGTGCATTCGACTTGTCCCACAGGCAAATATGGAGCAATTTGCTCCTGGCATCGCAAAAAATATAATTGTTGAGATTTTTACCCTTCGCTTAGCTTAAACAGTGTGGACGTATACTTCATGGTGTGGACGTATACTTTTGCTTCACGGTGTGGACATATACTTTTGAACTGCTGAATTTTACAAATTTGTACTGAAATTATATCAATTTTACTGTTTTAAAAAAAGCTAACAAAACATTCAGCAACAACAGAAGACTTGAGGACATATTTTAAATGAATTTGGACAATTTCTGGCGCTAAAAAGTTGTGTCAATAACGTGACATACATAAACAGACTTGGCGGTTGACTGCTCAGACATGGCTGCAGTACAGACTGCTCAGACAAATTTTACAATTGAAAACATCGATGTAAATTCAATAAAGCTCTTAAATAAACAGTCTTGTTTAATCTACGATAGTTGTCATATAAAGTGGGCATGGGATCTTGATGCATTGAAAAAATTTGTCGAAGATGTCAGTTTATCGGGAATTTGGAAATCACCTGGAGGCACAGCTAAACAGTTCCAATGTAGTGACTATGATCTCACCCTAACTTGGTATCCGGGGAAACAAAACACAATAACATTTCAATGGAAAGACGGTGAAATGCTGAAAGAATTCTTGATGCTTTTACTGAGTAAACCCAGAGATAAACAAGCGACCAATATATTGCCCGTGAATAGTGTGCCCACAACCGATATTGAGCCTGACATTGAGAGGAAAAATTGAGAGGAAACTGTGCGGTTTGTATGATATAACTTATAAAATCTATAATTCTGTTAGCGATTCGACAGCGATAGGTGATGATTTGGGCCAAAAGTTTTGTAAGGATGGTCTTACTAATGCAATAGATCAGCCCAATCAGAACAACGAGCGTCCCCCCCCCCCCCTTTCAGAATATTATGAATTGACAACAGACTTAGAGGAAGTTAAGCTGGATGCGGTGATAAATCACACTAAACTATCCAACATTATCTCATCAAATAGTAAGGTTATTAGCGAAAATACTCAAGAAATAAGTCAACTCAAAGAACAATTGACCAATATGCAAAGTGAGCGTCAAACACTCATTAAGGAAATTTCAAAACAAAGTGAGATAATTTGCAAAACACACAAGCAATCCATAGTGCTCAACATGTCATAGCCCTTACATGTCATAGCCCTTACATGTCATAGCCCTTACGGAAAAGTCTATAGGTGGCCTATATGTTCTGTTTATGTTGTGTTATGTTATGTTTATTATGTTATGTTTATGTTCTGTCTAAATTTGCATAGATTTGTGTCAATTTGTGCACGTCCAGGTTCTTTACTGTTTTGATCTATTTTTCGAAGTTGTCAGATCTTCCTAGCCTTGTTTATTAAGTTTCAATAGCTATTTTATATTCTATGAATTGTTATATGTTTTATAAAATTTGCAAGCAGCTAATTAAGTATGTTTGTGAAATACAATACAATGAAAACTTCGAGGAATTTGTTTGCTTGGCTTCAAGTTCCAATTCGTGTGATGACTTTGATCAGGTAAATCGAAGTTTTCTTGTATTTTATTTGTGTTTTATTATCTATTTAAAATTTAAAGGGCCCACAGTAATTGGTAACATATACTGTTGTGGTGACCCTGCCATGAATGCATGATAATGGCGAAGTTAAATAAATAAATAAATAAATAAATATAGGTGCCTATAGGAAATGCTCCAATTCCCTATAGAAGCCTTTAGGCATCTATAGAGCTCTATAGGATTATAGGCATCCCTATAGGTCACCTATAGAAAATGTTCCAATTGCCTATAAAAACCTATAGGTTTCCTATAGGAACCTATAGGTTGGCCTATAGGCCAGGCCTATAGACTTTTTTTGTAAGGGAGTGCCTGAACTCAACCCGATTATGCAAAGTATCTCACTGCTGCCTACCATTAGAATTACAACTGATGCCAAAACAACACCAAAGGTCCCAACTGCCTCATCATATCCTATGCTAAAAAAATACAAAGAATTCCTTTCTGGTAGACTGGCTCGGAAAGTTGCCCCTCATTGAAGGAAAACATAAACTGCAATCTGTTAAGTTCTTAAACAATAAACTTGTAAATGGTCAAAAGGAAAATTTTGAAAGCACTTCCTACATGCATCAAAAACAGTATGTTGCACCAGATGAAATCGATGATCATTTTTTGGGGCTCAGTTGGAAAAAACGGAGTTGGCTAATGCGCAATCATTGTCACAAACAGGATTGGCTCAACCACTTGAAGCTGGTTCAATGCATGAAGTGATAAAAATGCCAAATCAGGTTAGAATCACCTTACGTATATCTTCCTGGTGTACAGTATACCACCAGAGATCATACAACCGTCAACTCGTTCCAGTTACGAGAAAAAGTGATATTAGTACTAACAATAATTGTAATTTTTCCTGGCTTCCAAGCTACTATCTTATTAATACACATTTGCTTTTTTCGAAAGTTGATGAACTGCAAGCGCTTTTATTTAGCGCTTTTATTTAACTCTCTCCCTCAGGATATCTGTGAAGCTTCATCCGTTTTTAGTTTTCGGAAAAAAACTTAAAGAATATCTTTTTAATCTTTAACATATTATCTTCTAAATCCCTAACACCTAATTTCTATAATAGTGTTCATTATACCTATAAATATATCACCCTTGTTAAATCTCTCTTTCTGACATTACACGTAATGATCAACTGTACTACAACTTTGAACAACTATTTCTAATTATTATATAAATTAATGGTCACTATAGGTAGATGCTTAATATCCAGATGATCTTGATACGCGGAAAAGTACTGGCACTAGTTGTCAAATAGAAATCCATTTTATGATTAAAACAACTGAATATCTCCTGTAATATAGTTTATTTCGATCCCATATTTTTGTCAGAGCTATAGTTCTCATAAACCAAACATAATTACAAAATTTCAACTAGTTTCATAAAGAATAACGAAAGATATAATTGACTGAATACATCAAAATGGATTTCTATTCGGACAACCCTTTATGAGCGCTGATTGGCTAAAATACGAACACGAGATCACCTGGATGTAATTACACTAATGAATTCGGATTTGTCTCCTATTGTGCACGAATTATTCTGTTTATATGAATAGTACATTAAGGTAGCCCAAAATTAATAAGCCTTATGGTTTCTATTGGGCTCCCTTGCCAAGTATAATGTATATTTATTCCTTCTTTTGTATGATATTTTTTTTATGGCTAAAATAAATTTGATTTGATTTGATTGGAACCCTGCAGACATCATTGCTATCACTGAATCGTGGTTATACAAGGATATCTCTGATGACCTCATAGCATTTGGTGGTTATAAAATTTATCATAATGATCGGTCTCACACACGCGGAGGCGGTGTCTGTATCTACTTGTCGAAAAAATATTCCCTGCCAACGAAGGCTAGACTTGGAGAATTCAAGCTTCGAGTGTTTGTGTCTTTGGCTTCATCCCGAACGCTTACCCAGACCCTTGTCAGGGATTGCTGTTTGTCTTATCTACAACCCCCAGATCGTTCAGCTCAAGAGCTTTGTGATCTTGACGAGTATTTGATAGACACTACTGACTGCTTGCATAATAAATATCCAGATTGTGGAATTGTTATTTTTGGAGATTTTAACAACTTTGATTTACATAATCTAGCATCCAACCATAGCTTAAAGCAAGTTGTCCATTTACCTACCAGAGGATCTGCTATCCTTGACCTCATTGCAACCAATTTGCATAACTTGTACGAGAAGCCGTATATACTGTCTCCGCTTAGCACTTCGGATCATAACATAGTTCACTGGCTTCCTCTTACTAAGGATACCATAAATACTCTGACCCCCAAACCTAACCCATAAAGCACTTAGTGAGACATTATCCTCGGTCTGGAATTGAGGTTTCCGGACGTTGGGCTTGCTCAAAAAATTGGTTTAACGAACTCAGCGATAATCCAGGGACAGATGAATTGGTTACCTCCTTTTCATCACAAGTGACCAATGCTCTTAACTCTTTAGCGACATGACCCTATTATCGCATTGCTTTGAAGCAATGCGCTTCGACATTTAATATCTTCGGTTTATTGAATGCTACAAGGACAAAAATACCACCATTCGATTCAGTGTAACTAGATCTCCTCATTCATAGCAATAGTTTTAGTCAATGGCAACATTATAGCGATTTATGAGCTTTGAAAGTAAAGCGAGATCATATGTGATCAAATTACGCATTTTACCAACAAATTATAAAAACATAAACTATACCTTTCACCGAATATAACTTCGGCCCCTGATAAATTATCACTACTAAAATTTAGGTTGGTATTGTCAGCAAACATCCTTGCAAAACCCTCATTCAGGCAGTTTGGGAGATCATTGATATAGACCAAGAATAGCAGAGGCCCGATTATTGAACCTTTAGGAACTCCTCTGGATGTAGAAGAGGTACAAGAAAACTGACCGTTGACAAAACACTTTTGTCTACAATCAGTTAAATAGGATCTAAACCAAAATTGTGCCAAGTCATACACACCATATGCTCTCAACTTTGAAAGTAAAATGTTATAGTCAATAGTGTCACAGGCCTTCTTCCAGTCAATGAAAACTACGCCGTTTAAAAAACCTCTATCGATATTGACACACCAGTTATTAGTTGCTTCTAGTAAAGAAGTGAGGGTGCTGTAATTAGACCTAAAGCCAGATTGATAAGGATTGATAAGCTGATTATGAGTTAAATATGTATAAAATTGGTCATAAACGAGCCTTCCAAAACTTTTAGCAATTGCAGAAATGATTGAAATAGGTCGATAGTTGCCGAGATAATTTATCCCCACTTTTAAAGATAGGTAAAACTCTAGCCATCTTCCAATCATCCGGATGAATTCCCGTGGAAATTGAGCGATTAAAAATGGCTGTGAGTGATGGAGACAGAATCTTGGCAGCTATTTTCAAGACCTTACAAGGAATATTATCAGGACAGTTGCCTTATTAGGACTGATGGATTTCAGAGTTTTGATTACGGTCTCAACATTTATTTCAGCAAAAGAGAATGAGCTATTGACTGGGTTTATATAAGAAATAGGATTTACGTCGGAGTTATTGTTGGCAAGGTTATCGCTTATCGTAGTAAAGTAGGTATTGAAAGCATTTGCTATATCAGCTGAATTTATGATATCTGCTCCGTCATGTTTTATAGTTTTCACATTTGTGGTTGCATTGGCTTTGCGTGAAGGGAATTCATTAATAAGTCACCATGTTTTCTTTGGATCATTTTTGGCTGTATTAATCCGCGTCATGAAGTAATCTTGCTTAGTCTTTTTAATAAACTTATTAGCTTCATTATATTGGGACCAAATTTGATCATTAGGATTTTTATCAAAAAGTTTTTGAGAGAGTCTCTTCGCGTAATTTATGAATTAGCAATGAGTTAATCCATGTAGATTTTTTACATCTAAGCCTTTTGGTTAAATAGATTTTTTACATCTAAGCCTTTTTGTTTTCATATATCATGTCGAAGAGGCAACACGCTTCAAACGCAGTGCGCATGAAATTGCTAAATCTGCTCAAAATACGCCAAAAATAACTAAAGAAACACAACAATTGACACCTAAAAGTAAAAAAGGTTTGAAAGAAGAAGAAATGGATAGAATTGACGAGCTCTGTAGTATGATGCAGACTGTAATGAAGAAATTGGAGACGCTTGAACTGATCAAAGACCGAATTTTATCCGTCGAGCAAGATGTCAAAAGTCTAAAAGAGTCAATCAATTTTGCTCATGCAGAACTAGACGACCTCAAAAAAGAAACGAAGGAAAGAAAAGAGGCTGAAGACGAAAGAGAAATAAAGATCAAAATCTTAGAAGATTCTAACCGGCGGCTTCAAGAAAGTGTCATTGACCTCAAAGCGCGATCGATGCGGGATAACTTACTATTCCACAATATTCAAGAAAGCGATAAAGAAGATTGTACCGATATAATCTTCAAATTGTTAGAAGAAAAACTAGAGATGCCTGATGCAAGAAGAGAGATCAAAATCGACCAAGCGCATCGAGTTGGCAGGAAACGTGACGACCGACGGAAGCCAAGAGCAATTGTCGCAAAGTTTAATTTTTTTCCTGACCGAGAGAAGATCCACTATAACACAAAAAAATCGAAGGGAACACAGATCGGAATCTCCAAGCAGTTTCCAGAGGAGATCGAGAAAGTTCGACAAACATTATATCCGGAGATGAGAAGAGCAAAGGCGGCTAATCAAAGAGTGCGTCTGGTTGGTGACAAACTTTTTATAAACAATGTGGAATTTATTCCCCGACATAATTAAAACTGAAAGGTGATTATTATTTACTCATAATATATTGACATTTCTATTATCTAACTAGATATGGCTTCTATAAACGTAGACAAGACAATTTGTTCTACATGTTTTCATCAAATAGCTTTTGATAAAACCGGCGTTACTTGTGTGATGTGTGGGAGCTGTTTTCATGCTAAGAATTCCTGCATTAAATCACCTCACATGTCAACAAACGGAAATTGATACATGCCACATATGCCTAAGCAACTCGTTACCTTTTAATGCGGTAGTACATAGCGGGGAATTTAACACAACCAAGTGTTAAAAAACATTCAATCCCCCGCCCCTGGGGCAAACTGGTCTGTTAAAACCCCCCGTACGGCCGCGCTTTAGTATACCTAAACAAGACAAATTCCGCATCATGCATGCATAATTTTGAATTACCTGTCTTCCGCAACTTCCAGATTGAATTTCCGTCAAGTGTTGTATTGACAATGTCTGGTCATGCATATCAAAATATCGATATGAAAATGTAACTAAATATGCAAATTTTGTTAATTCCCCGCTATGTCCCAGGGGTGGGGTGGGGGGGGGGCGTGATTTCAAATGACTGAAGCATAACTCAATAGATCCATTAGATTTTAATTTTACTTTCGGGGATTTCTCTCGACTTCCCAGTGAGGAGGATATGGATAAATTAATGAGACTTAAATTTAATCCTTTTGACACTAAACACACATCTATAGGTAATGATGATTACGATATGCTTACTAACATTAATAACATTTCATGCAAATACCATCTTCCGAATGATATGTCGTGGGATATACCTAGTAACGAGCACTTTTCTATTTTGAATCTTTAAAATATTTGTTAAAATCACTAAAACATTCATTTTCAATAATCAGTTTAACGGAAACTTGGCTTGATAATGAAAACTGCACAGATTATAAACTAGATAATTTTAACTTTGTTAGCACAATTAAACAGAAACACGAAAAAAGGAGGAGGCATTGGAATGTTTATTTCCAATGACTTAAACTTTAAATTTCGTCCAGACCTTGATATCAAGGAAGAGGGAATAATTGAATCACTCTTCATTGAAATTATTACAACAGTTGGCAAATACATAATAGTTGGCACACTTTATAGACCATGTGTTAACAGTCTTTTCTAGAAAATAAGTAAAAAAGCACAGGATTGAAGAAGATTCTAAAATTTTTATCGCCCAATTAAGAGTCTAAACGCAGTTGATATCGAGACAAATACGCAAAGAACGAAGCACCGGAAGCGGACCATATTAAGGCATAGAGTGTCCTAGCCACAGAATAGAGAATGCTGCAACCTCTTTCCTAGCCAGTGCGCTTATGAGAGGCATTCACCCCCTGATAATATGCAAAATTGCGGACGTTCAGGGGGGGATACCTCCCTAACTAGCAACGCCGAGTCGATCTTCTAGGTGTCTTTATTCTGTGCCCTAGCCTGCGAACTCACCAAACGTTTTCTGACCGGCGCCCACCCAATTCTTGTGGCTCAAGTTGAGTCACTTTAGTCAAGCCGCAAGAAATTTCACAACCCAGGAGAAATAAAAAAATTAACTTTTCCAAAAACTTTAAAACATTGACTTTTTTCTATGCCTCGCATGCCTCGCAGTTTGTCGAGACCCATATATTCACCAATGACCTTGAACAAATTGAATTCAGTAAGAATGGATTAATTTTAACTGATATCTCAGATCATCTTCCTATTTTTTATATCGCATCACTAACAATGAAAAAACATAATTCCAATTTAGAAACTTCACAACATCAAAGAACAATAAACAATGATAATCATGCATCATTTTTGTATCTGTGAAGCAGATATATATGCTATCGCAAACGTGACCGTACCATACCGTATGTTAGCATATAGCCATTCAGCGACGTGCTTATATAATTTAAGACAATTTAAGCCAATCAGCGATCAGTTTACATAAATTGTTTACATCGTGCCCGCATCTAACCTGCGAACGGGCGGCGTTTGGCCTCGTGTTATTCTTTGCCATTTTCACATTTGGGCTTCCAAAATATCTTGATTTTGTCTTGTTTGCGCTATTTTGCGAAGTTACTATCGACATGGAAACTTATCCTCATCTGGTAAGTAGTCAAATACGACATATTTATTATCTTATTATGTATTTATACAGTAAAACAATAATTTTGTTGTGTAATATTTTAAACAGTCAAAACATAGCATGAAGGCAATATATTTGTCAATGACAATGAACAATGTCACAATAAACTAATGTTCTCAGAAGATATTGAATTAAATCCTAGTCCTGTATTTCCGTAGTAAATTCTGTTTGATGTTATCAGTTAAAATACTTATACATTTTGGTTTAACAGTGATTCGAGTTTTTAAACAAAATGTTTACAAACATTTTCAAATGCTAATAAAAGAATCCCCACTGTCCCTCCTCATTATATTGTTATTTTGCTTTCTAACATAAATGTTTTTGTTTAGAGATTAATGCAAGAATGATGAATAAATGTAGCTACTGGATATTGGCTAGATAATTTTGTCAGAACAACCCATTTGCAAGACAATCTTACCTAAATTCATTAGTATGGATAATAACTTAACAGCTATAATAATCATATATTATATGGATGGATCAGATCAATGGCACACAATATGTACAAAACTAAACTTGTGATACCTTCTACTGTTTTTGTGTGCATGGATATGCTGTGTTAAACCGAACAGTGTGGTATATCATTAACTGTGCACAGGATTGGAATTGAATTATATACTTCACTCATGACCTTCAAAACATTCTCTACTATTCAGTGGTCTTTGATATATGATTGACTCTTTGCTAGTGATGCATGTTCCTTGAATAGTTTGTGTATGTTACTCAACAGTTAATGTTGGCAAGTGTAAACAGCAAGTGACAGAACTTCTGCTTCATATGATTACAATAAAGTTTTGAAAATGGGTATGGATTGACAAGTGACAGTTTACTAAATAGACACTTCGAATATTGTTTGCATGAAATTTTTATTTTTTTGACCGCATAATTATCCAAGTTACAATCGGTCGTTCCAGAAAAAACCCGTACTCCCCCCACAGAGGAAATTTCTGCCGTCCGGAGGGGGAGGTTAAAAAAATTGTTTCTGATAATAGTAAATGTATTAGGATATGCGAAGGCAGTATGGGGGGGGTTAACTTCCTATTTCCTCTGTGGGGGTGGTATGGATGTTTTCTGGAATGACCCAATCGTAATCACATAAAATTAGTTAAATTTTCTCTGTGCCAGGGGGGGAGGTGAGTTGCCCCTGCTACCCTCCGTGCTGTCACAGAATCAAGAAGGTACAGCAGAAGTGAAACTCGAGTCGGTTCCCTTATTGTTTTACATGCACGAAAATTTTAACTCGCTCACACCATCCTGGCTAGTACAACCGGAAGTTTTTATCAGATTTTGGTAGATGCTAAGTGCCGGTTGTACTAGCCAGGATGGCGTGATTGATGACGAATCACTTGTAAAAACGTGGACAAATGCTTACTTGAGTTACACTTCTGCTGTACCTTCTTATTCTATGGTGTTGTCTACAGCCTTGTTAGATTTGTACTATATTTGACTTTAAAATCTTATTTGCTATTATATTTATTATAATAAGTGATGAAAATGTGAATCAAGTTTTTTCGCAGATACATGTACGCTTTGCGTACCTATTTTTACATGCGCCGCGGTAAAGAATTGTATTTTTGGATTAACGCAAGTATCATCGCTTTTCTTTCGAATCACATATCGTTTGGAATATTGACAACATTTTTCAAAATTAAAAAAAAAAGCAGGTTTATTCATCACTCCCTACTTTTATTTTGTCGGCCATCTTGTTGCCGTGCGTGTTTCACACGTGGTCTACACGAACACAAAAGGAACGCAGGCTCGCTAATTGATGACGTAAGGCGTGATATCGTGATTAATTTCATGCTCACGTGGCACAAACTAAGCTTCCTGATTGGACAATTTGAATTTGAGGTATAATATTATAACATAAACTCTGGTCTAATGCTTCTGGTTTTAAGTTGCAAATTTATTGTATTGATAATTTCAAAACGTGTCGCGAATTTATTATATTGATAAATTCGAATGTGTTTATAATAACAATTTACTCATATATAGATTAGTATTGAGATACATTTCACTACACTTTACATGGCAGATCTTAGAATACGAGCGGATCGAGCCGCTGAGCAAGGGAGTGCAGTCTGACCACAGTGGGAGTCCTGGTGTGGATATACACTCAGGGTATTAAACATCAAAACAAAAAATCCAAACTATTTTTGAACAAAATGTTGTTGGACCATTTGGAATATTGACAATGGCATGGTCATAATGTAATGACAAAGTCTAAGATAACCTGAGTATCAGGCCCTTATGTTTTCATTCGCCAGGATTAATTGGTGGCGGCGAATGAAGGAGGGCCTGATGGGGGGTATAATTGGGAAGGGCAGATTTATTCTCTTTTTGACCATGATAAGATAACTTATCAACTAAGACACTTATGTCTATGGGAATGTGGGGCTTTTTAGAGGGATGGGGGTTTAAGAGATAGGGTTAGGCTGACTAAAACTGCAAGGGCAGCTTATATTTAAGAGAGGAAGCTTATTAACTCAATTCGATCCGCCAATATTAATTTCCGACGTATATGACGGGAAGATTAAATATTAAAGAACTTCGCGAGTATTTGCAGTAGACATACGAAAATACCACCAAAAAATTCCGCTTGATCGATACTATATATTCAGAAATATTCATATAATTTTATTGTTTCTCGCTCAATTTCAAGCGAATTTCTTACCTTGAAATGATCAATGCGGTGAAATTTATGCAAATGACGCATTATCAATTTTGCTGTTGCATTTTGAATGTTCCGCCTGATTCAAATGCTCGTCTTTTTTAACAAATATACCAAAAGAATCGCCATCTTCCATTCTATAGCTCGGAGCAGTCTCGGGAAATTGTGAAATAATCTAAGCCTATTATGGCAATTCTCGTGATCGGAAAGTGTTCGGCCAACTTCGGACGCCAAATTCTTGGTAAAGCATTACAGTTTCCTGGTAAAAGACTGCAGGAATCACTTCCGGAGTGTTTGTTTACCCTAGATACGGATTTTGATTGGCTTAGGCAGAAAAGCAAATCTTTTAGAGCAATTTTCCTGATTATCGCGCACGAGAACGCACGAGCGTTGAAATGTATTGTGTTGTAGTTATGTTTGAATCGCATTCTGAAGAGGTTTTTGGCTTTATTTTGCAAACTGATAGTGCTAGTAATGATGGAATGTCTTCGTATGAAGACAAGTATCTCAACCTGGCATTGGGAGTCGTGTCTGGAGTTTCAAGGCAAGTATTTGTATGATTTCTAGACAGTTTCTATTTCAATGTTTTGACGTTGCCATGGCGTTGTAAATTTATTTGTATTTAGTATAGCTTCACTAGTACGACCAAGTATGTCCTCATATCGCTTTTTTGTCTTAAAATAATCGTCTCATACTGAAATTGACAAATATAAATGGTATTTATTTATATTGTTGACGAAAATTTATGGTGTTTTAGGCATAAAAATCTCTGATTCCTAGGCGAAGTAAAATGAGCCTTGAGCACATGTTTGGTTGTTTGTTACATACATAATAGCCAAGTATTCATACTTTATATATCTTACTAGTTTGGCTCTTATTATAATTTTAAATGGTACCATGTTTATAAAAAAAGTTTTTATTTGCACTGATGAATATATTGATCCTGTTCCTATCTGCTGTTCCTGTTTCATAGCTTCAGGGAAGTAGAGTTCTGATGAGTCATGAGAACCCCACTCACCAACCCAGAGGGAAGGTAGGGGGATGAGTAGAGGTAGAGGGAAGCCCAGCCATTAGGACCTAAGGTTTCGAAAGCTCCCTGTCTAGCATCCCCACTAGGCCCCATAGTACATGACGGATATGATGATCCTGACGCTAGGAATATTCTCCCAGATTTTGCTCCTCACTGACATGTCTGGGATCCATTTCGATCAACTGTGAGCTTGAGTTCATTCGGCTCAATGAACTGTGAGCTTGAGTTCATTCGACTCTTTTTTACTAAGGGACTGCTTCAGGAGGTAGTTTCCTGGCCATACCAATACATATGCCCACATACAAATAACTCAAAAGTTATCCCCATATACTAATAAAGAAGGGTCTTGCAGTCCACCAACCTTGAGAGGTTGATTGCCTTTTAGTATATGCAGGTTTGCTAAAGGTCGACAGTAAGATTGAAAATTATTGCAGTGTAAAAACCTTATATGATGGTCTGTGGGCAATAGAAATAATTTCTCGGGTTAGGTACAAAGCGATTATGGCGTTTGTGAATATGGTAGATCCTGTACTAAAGACTACAGCAATAAACTGCATCAACAACTGTACCAGCCGTCACAGAATATTGTTGTTGCAGACAAATACACTGTCAAATCAAGAAGTAGGTTGGGGGTTAGGCAGTTCATGAAAGCTAGATGACCTACTATGGGGGGAATAAATCTGTGGGTTGCTGCAGACAATCCTAATGGTTATATTGCGACTTTGAAATTTATACAGGAAGAAGTCCAGATATTCATCGCAACAGATTTGGGTATGACGTGGTGATCTGATATCAGTTTGGTTACAGTCTTAGGTCTTTTGTAGTACAAATATATAAAGGAAATATTTTCACCACATAATCCAATTATGTGCTTTGGCAAACATTACTGCTTTAGCAAACATTACTGCCTTGGAAAACATTAATTTTTTATAACTACTAATTATGATGATGCCAGCCCAACAACACTTGGTCATGCTATTTGCAAATATTTTCATGTTCTAGATTGTGAAAACAATCAATTTCTAAACAAATGAGTAGTGATTATTTCAAATTTGAATAGCATGACCAAATTTTGAGGCTGGCTAAAGTCAATGGTGTAATGATTATCTAAGAATGTATGTAGTAACTGTAGAAATAAAGACATTTTGCTAATCATGATTTGAGTGTTCTTTTGTGGGTATCACAGACTGATTTTGGTGCCATACTATCTTTGGAGAGTAAGAAATATTGGAAATTTGTATTGATAACATGTTGCAGCAATAAAAAAGGACCTTTGATTTAGGTATTTGTTTCATGTGAGCACAAAATGTAAATTTGACTCCACTACCTAGTTTATATAAAAATTCAATAAAAATATTTCTATTTATGCTACGTGCATGAAACTTCGGGTACTTGTAGATCATAACCGTATCTTTCAGTCATATTCATAAAAGTTTTTGACATATTTGAAATTTGAACCGCTAAATACGTTTATGCATAATTGCAACATTTTTTTATATCATAATTTATGCAAATTTATGCGAGTAAATCGTTAACCAAGGTCCGGATGAAATTGAAATTGGTATCGTTGGAAAGCAGAAGTCCTCCTCTTTCGAACGATGCAATTTCTGTTTCCGTGCGATGTATAGTTTGAGAGATATAAGCGTTTGAAACAACACCACTCGAAATTGTTACTTTTTGACCGGATGGGAATGAGTTAAAGAGATTACTGAGTGTATACAATTTTGGTTGTATGTAAAGATTTATTTCCATTTACCTTTCTTGGCACTATCAACTCCCCGACATTCACTTCACCTGACAAAATCTTTTCTTTCAATTTTGCTTGCAATTTCCTACTGGATTCAGGGCATGGAACTGTGATTTCACCACCAACACTTTTTTTCATCTTTTTCCTGATATTGCCAATGTCACTCTCTCTTCTTCTTTTCTTGAACCTCTCCACATCAACTCCTTCTGATTTCAACCACTCCATTGCTATTTGTCCACCATTTTGAGCCATCTGTCCAGTTTTATTCTTTACTCCGTACCTCCTTGCTAACTCGGACCAGTTGACCAAAGTGCCATCACCAAAGCTGTTTACTTCTTCCTTCATCCCATCTTTGTCCCACTCCATATTTTCAAATCTCCCAACAGGACTTTTCTGCTTTCCCTGTTGTCTCTGTGCATTGTGTCGTTCAGCTGCTTCATCTTTGCTTTCAAAAGCCATTGCCAACCTATCCCTTTGCCTTCCAGCTTACGACTGTCGATTCCCAAAACATCTGTAAAATATACATTTTGGTAAACTACATTAATCTATATTTTCTGGTTGAACACTCAGGATAGACTTTACATAAAAAAAATCCAGGCTTTCATATCAACCTGGCAAGGTGGTTCAATCTATATAGTGAAGCCCCATACTTTTGAACAACTAATTTATACAATTTAATTTCCAACCATATACTTTATATAAGATTATGAGTAGTATAATATACTGTAAATGTATTTAGTGGGATTAATATTAATATTACTAATATCCACCCCTGCTACCCGGATAGATATGAATGCCTAGTCCATCCCTAGTGCCTGACCAAAATCCACAGACCACAGTCTCAGATTATACCTTATCAAAGATGTATTTTCCCACTCTTTCTCGACTACTTCTTTGAATTTTCTGTAATTATTTCTTCTTGTTCTCTTTTTTTCAGCTAATGATTTTTTCTTTTCAATATTCAGATCTTTAATCTTTGTCAGCGCTTTAACAAGGGAATGGCCAGTTATCTTTTCAAACGTGGGATTCACTTGGTCGTATAAAGATTTTGCAGCTTCGCCTGCTTCACAGAGAGTAGTGCTACTGTTTATACGTGTTTGGTTTTGGCAGTCTGACTTCAATAGCTTTGTTTGCAGCATTGAGGTTGTTTTCCTTCAATAAGTTGGGGAATCTATTGCATTTTACGGGGAATAGCGCTTGGATGTTGTTGAATTTGAGCTGACATGGCTTGCAATCTTTGAATGTATGTTCAATTTGCATCGGCGGGGACAGTTCATTCCAAGCTTTGATGTTGAACGCTGCAGTGTAATGATTGCGCTCAGTGATCTTCCTGTGATTCCACAGACTGAATTTCTCGTGAAGAGGTGGGAAAATTGCTTGAAATAGTTTAAGATCTACAGGAAAGTTCTCTTTGCAGTCTTGGAATATATCCGAAAACCGGTCATACCTTTCCCGCATCAATCGCGCTTGAAAATCCTTTCGCGACTCTGTCGTCTTCACATTTGATATTTTCGTCTGCGTCAACTTGTACCGTGATTTGCCAAGCGACTCCTCTCGCAAAACCGCACGTCAAAGGATGCAGGAATGTCCCACACATTAACAAACGTATTGACTTAAATTCAATGAGCTACGCACTCTATAATATAGCGAACTTGTAAGTATATTGTACAGAGCCAACGATTGTGTTCTTTACTGCTGTAGAAAGTTTTGGAATTTGCGCCTAAATTTGAAACTTGCGGATTTGCGTCATTGCAGATCTTGAGATAATTCGATAATTTGATATACGCCACTTGATGAATATAAATTTTTGTGTGTTTTGTCGCCAAATAATATGATAAAACCGACTTATATTCTTCGTGTATATTCGGCAAATATATAATCAGTAGAAGTACTTTTAATGCTATTACAGAAAGCAAATAGTATATATACATGCTTATTTTATGCGCTGTTGTCTATCATTATTGTAAATATGCTGTTACTAATGCGCTATATCATTTCTAGAATATAGAAATTTGCTACGAAATGTCAACAAATTCTGCTGTTTTTGCCGTGTTCGTGTCCGCCATGTTGTTAAACGCGACAATCACCATGGAAATAGCATATTTTGGTGTTTAGCCGCTGCACCCATCACAGAAACACGCCGGCGTGTTTTCATAATGGCGATGAATATTATTTATGTCACGCAAAAAACACGTTCGACTTGCAGCAGGGTAAATGTAAGGTTTTTTTATTGTTTCATCTGCTAAAACTATTAACAAGGGGACAAAGTTTCTTGAATGAATTCCGAAATAGTACGTTTACGTGAAGAATAGCAATCAATAAGGCGATTGGAAGTCACATTATGCACACCATCGTCATATAGTCTTATAAAATAATCAAACAAGGTCTAAATGTCAACTTTCCGAATTCAATTCATTAACATTGGTATCAGATGAAACTAAATGTAGCAATTCTGCGTCATTTAAAGCACGGATTATGCTGCTGCAGAGCCCCTGAATAAAAGGTACCATTTTGCGTCTTGTTTTGCCTTATATATGTCACATGATCGTCGCCATGACAACAAAATGTTGCCCAACATCTAGGAACTGTCGTGACAAATTGTTTAATACCCGAACGACAATATTTGAGTGATTAGCCAATTTTTAATATTTTTTTTCTATTTTCCTCTAATATTCTAACTGTGACCCAGGCATTAACATACCTGAGTAACTTTTTGTAACACTATTTGTCATAGTATATATCCTACTCCGTGTTAAATCAATGCAGAAATTCGAGTGTAACAAGGCAAATAAGAAAGTTAATTTTGTAAATATCATGTTAAAACTTGTTAATTTAATACTGATGCAATATTTTATGATCAACAACCTGTATAATTGTAAATTGCACTATTCCTTGCTTTCTCAGTCGCTCTATATGTTTTTATCTGATAGTGTATAGACTTCTGTTGTTCGATTGCGAGTAGTATTGGCCACTACAATGCTCAAAACAACATATTTTTAGCTAACATAACACGCACGCAATTAGAATTTTTGGTGCTACCCATCCAATGATGTGACAAAGTTCATTTACCTTTGAGATAAAAATTTTCAAAAATGTTTTCCAAGATGGCGGCGAAACACAAAGTTTGCATGCATTTTACTTGTAGACTAAAATGTTCGAGAAGGAAATGATAATATTTTCATAGTTAGGTCGTCAAGTACGATTTAAATAGCCAATAAGAATTTTCGTTGCCATTGTCCTTTAATTTAATTAAGTCTGTATTTTGTCAAATTTTCATCAAATTTTCATTCAATATTGTTCATTATATAGTGCATGAACAGAATATCAGAAAGTTATCAAACAGATAATAAAGTATATGATATACAATGATCACGTGTGTTCAGCGTGAGTTATAAGACTCCCGAGAATTAGTTTCTAGGGAGTCTCTGATCCCACTGAATATACAAGTGATCATTGTCTATCCGACTTAAACCATGCATGATTACGTCCACTAATCTAAAAAATAGGCACGCTAAGCGTGCATGTGGCTACCGCTTTTAGTGCTGTCTAATAGACAATCCAAATGCCGAAGGGTCTCTCTGTTCTTTGGCGATATTTCAGGGTCGTCACTCAGCAGTTGATCGGGTGGAAAATCTGCATTAAATAGAATGTCTTCCTGGTTAAGAGACATACTTGGTGAACTTAATATATCTTCTGCTTCCTCTGGTACAATCGTATAGTCACGTTCCGACATGCAAAGAGTATATCGCTTGCCAATATCTTGCACATATTCATCACCAAGAAGAATTTGCGTTGTAGGCGACAGTAGTGATAATATAATGTGATAGAAAAATAAGAGGGGGTGTGTGAACCTATGTGATTTAACTGGAGCTTTGTATGGAAAATGAAAGTGCGGGCTCAAAAAGCAGAGACCGCTGGCTGTACGGACGGGGGGGATATTTGAAAGGGGGCGTGTCTATGTTGAGGGCAGGCTGATTGATGTGCGCAGCAATGCGCATGTGTGAGGGAGCTCCGAACCCAAAGCCTTGGTTGACCGAAGTGGCGAGTTTTTGAATTTGCCGCGCAGTTAAGGGTTGCGAATGACGTAATGTAATTTAATAGCGAATAATTGGAATTTTTTATCTTTTTTAACAGGGTGTTAATATTTTTCAGTGTATATTAGTAGTTATTAAAACAATCATGTTAAAATTCAATGAATTTTAGTGTTTTATTAATGTTTATTAACATTTTTTAAAAGAGTTAAAAAATGTTAATAAGAATTTTCAACAAATTTTAAACAATAATTTCTTTGAATGTTTGCATGGCGATAAAATATAATTGTTTTTTGTTTGTGGAAACACCACGTAAATTGATTACTGCTTAAGCTTACTTATTTATTACTGCAAAGTATACAGCAGAAGATTGAATATCAGTCGTCTGTTAGTCTACCATACATTGGTCCGGCTTCACACAAAATCGAAAGAATTTTGAGGAATGAAGCAGGTATAAAGGTATACCATTCCAGCGAAAACAAATTGTTTTGAGCTCTTTGCACACATAAGGACAACGTAAATGAATCTCAGAAACCTGGTGTGTACCGCATTCCTTGTGAATGTGGTCTGGTTTACATTGGTGAAACTGGTCGAAATCTCTCAGTACGTCTTAAGGAACACAAGACGAATTGCGAGAAAGCCGAGCAAGATAAATCTGCTGTGGCTAAACATACTTGGACTTACTTACGACCATTGTATAAAATGGGACGAAGCAACCATTTTGGCGATTGATAGTCATAAGTTCTCTCACAAAATGAGAGAGTCAATTGAAATCGAGAAGCACAATACTATAGATCAGGAGGGAAAGCCACTAGATAGTACGTGGCGTGCTCTCTTTAATGTGCAAAATTAACTTCTCTTGTCGTGGATGCGCGCGCGTTAATTGGAATCACTTCACTACATTTTGAAATGACGTGGTTGATGTGCCGTTTAATTAAATTTCAAATGACGCGAGCCAACAGATCATGACACTCTTGTATATAAAAAGAGCGTGTGAATTAAACAAGTCACATATTATTAGCATTGATGAAGATCCGGGCTTACGGATCGAAAGCTTTGCAGTAATAAATTTACGTGGTGTTTCCACAAACAAAAAACAATTAAATTTTAAACAGGTAATAAATTTTATTAAAAGTATAAAAAGTATTATTTACATAAAATAATTATTTATGGATAAAATGTCAAAAATATAGTGTTAGTTTTCAGATTGTTTTTTAAAAGACTGGTAAGAACATATTCAGCAGCGTTAATTTTTTCTAATAGTTCGCAATGTTCACAAATTATATCCAATGATTTACGTCTAGTTTCAGCAAACAAATCATAGGTTTGAAATTGTTTTTGTGTAGCTACTGTAATGTCTTGTTTTAGTTTTGTTAAAATTGTTTTCTTTTTCTTGCAAACACCTTCCGAGTTGGGTAGGATGAGTTCTCGTCGTGATAGTTGAAGTAGAGCCATATCGTCGTCTTCGTCATCAATACGAATAAGGATCTCATCTTTGGTGGGTCTTCCACTAGGTCGTTCTTGTTCACGTTTTCGTTTTTTTTGTTTTTGGAATGGTCGGGGTTTCTGTCACAACCGTGGTTGGTTGTGGTGGGTTTTGAAGTGGGGTAATCGCGGTGGTCGAATGATGCCCATCTTCGGCATTGTCAAAAACTTGTCTTGCAATATTAATATCTTTACCGCGACCGCTGTGGTAGGTAGGAGTCTTGGGTGGAGTAACTATGGCTTGAGTAAAAATGTTTGGCTGATCAAGATATGTTACTAAACCGCTAATAGCTTCTAAGGCGTCGTTTTCACTGTATGCGTTAATTTGCATCTCTTCCAATATTGTGTCTACACTTGGTAATACGTCGGTTTTTGCTGCTTCGTTTGGTTGAAATGTGAGATTTACAAATTTGGGTTCATTATCTTTAAGTGATTTTTTTTAGTTTTTGTATTTTTAAAGGTACAGTAGATATTGGCTTTTGTTGTAGGATTTTACTCGGTGGTGGTGGTGGCGTCGGTGTTATATCGTTGTTTTTATTCAGCTGCCATTTTATGAAATTTAGCTCATATATATTTTCTGGATGTTGTTGTGAAAATTGTTTGAATTCGAAGTACTTGTTTGCCAATAATCCAATATCTGTATCGTCTTGAACAATAATCAAGGAATCTGTAGAATTCAGCGTCGTAATGCGCCATTTTTACTTAAAAGATTTTTTGTAGTGTGTTCTTTCACGAGCAGTAGTAAAATGTGAAAAGAATATGTTGAGTTATGTTTCAAGTAAAAAGTTATATGTCCATATATGGTCAAAGCGTTATGGTAACCTATTTTATGTTTATATGTGTTTATGACCATATATGAACATGTGTATTATGATTGTTATTTCAGTCAAGGTAACACCTAATGCGAAGGTCACATAGTATGTGTTTATGACCATATATGAACATAGGTATTATTATTGTTATTTCAGTCAAGGTAACAACTACATAATGAAGGTCATAGTAAGGGTATTTTTGGATTTTTTACATTTTATAATCGAAAGTAAAATAGCTTTGGTATCTAAGGTTTTAATGGGTGTGGTTATGATATTATTATTTTATTTTATGATATTTGGTATTGTTGGTTTGAAATGCTTACTTAAAATTAGTTCATTGTCCTTCGTAAATAGTTCATTATGTTTTAGTTAATAATATAGTTAATTTGATTGATACCAGGATGGAAACGGCTATACCATATGTTCCTAATAGACTAGATAGCGTGAGTTAGAAAAATTGTGACTGCGTCAGAGTAAGGACGTGTAATTGCTACAAGCTATTTAAACTGAAAGGGACATTTCTACGTATTTGTACGAAGAACTGCTATTCGGAATTCATCGCTACTCGTTTGGTACAAGTGTAAACCAAAGTACGTAACTTTTACAGTATTGTATGTGCTTGTTAGTTTTGTTAGTCAATGACATTTGTGTGTTAGTTTTCGCATGCATTAAGTTGTTTAGTTAAGTAGTTTATTTTATTGTCATGTTTCAGTTCGAACCTACAATCTATGCTACAATCTATGCTACAATCAATTCATGCTACAATTTACGCTACAATTTGTGCTACAACTTATCTACAATTTATCCTACAAATCTACGACTGTGCCTAACCCACAAGTCCCACATCGTGTTTATTCTACAATTTGCTACCCATATTGAATTTCTACTTGGCTACAATACGTTGCGTGACTTGTACAAAGGCCATTGATTTTGTTGAATATTAAATTTGTTAACCATTGTACGTCGATTTGCTATTTGTTGAGTTTGAATATTCATTTGTACCCATTTCAACCATTCAACCCCCTGTGACTCTTGTATTTGGCAACCAGGAGTTACAGGTATGAAATATTTGGATTTGTCTATAAAAGATTTTGGGGTTACATCGGACACACAATTTTATTCTTGTACAAGGGAATACGAGGAGGTAACGTATGGATCAATATTGTAATAATTTATTTGGACATTTGGATAATGTATACACTAGAGGGTGTATTGATTTGTATTATAAAGATTGCATTTTTATGAATGTTCGAGCGTATTTAGCAAATTATAATGATTATGAGTGTGTATTATGGACATTAAATTCACGACAGCCAACAACATGTTCGACAAGTTTAAGTTTAAACAAGACTGATCGCTACGGTCTTTGGGATATTTCATTTTATTTTGAGGGTTGGTATGGTGGTTTGTGCAGTATATTTCACGAATATTGTTTTAAAGCGGCACGAAAGAATTTAAATAGTTTATATGTTATTGAGAACATTTTAAAACACGTACACGTTTTGGTATCTGAACAATTAGTGGATAGACAATTGTACTTTTATAAAATGTCGGGAAATTCCTCTGTACTTGTAGAATTGGATTCGTGGGGTTGTGTTAGATTACAACAACAACAACAATATTTTTTATTGTAGAATGGCAATGATTGAGAATGATGATGATGTAAAAGTGATTGAGGTGCAAATGCCTTTTGACATTGTTTCAGAAGACGAACCACTAATAAGAATACCACAGATTAATAATGATTACAGATTTTATGAATTTTTTATGAGTTTTGGTAGAGATCAGGCTGTTCAGATGGCGGGGGGTCGTGTATGGCCTATAATATATTTTAATGATGCTGTGTCAAAAATGCCAAGTTTTTATGTCTATATTACAGATGTGGGAAGAACGAAAAAAGGACAACGAATTATAAACATAGGTGTGGCTCATTGGTTGCTTGGGATTTATGCTGAACTTGAAATTAATATTCGTGTTTATCCTGAATCTTTTAATGGGGATTTATCAACGGCATTATATCTCCTGTATATAACATTTACAAGCTACGGCTTTAAATTGGATTATGTTCAACATGAGGGTTTAACGCAAGCGCAGGCGGCTACTTTTGTTCGTGAAACTGTTGATACTGTTCTAAATTATATCCAGGAATATAAACACGAAGATTATAGTTGCAAAGTTTTGGCTGAAGATTTGCGAACTAGTACGGGTATTGCGGCATCTGTTCGATTGGTTCAGATATTAATGTACCATTATCGTTTAGTGAAAATTGTGAGGGATTGGATGTTGTCAAAATGTGAATGTTCTGAACTTGATCAGATTTGTTATTGTAATATTTTTACGAAGGAGGAATTAAAGAAATTTGGAAAAGTTTATTTTAAAGACGCAAAGTTATTTGTAAGCGATGAGGTGTTCTTTACCACCCTGGGACCATTACGGTTGGGAGTTGTACCGGTATCTGAAAAAAAAAAAGATTCGTCGTCGCAGTCCAATAAAACCCGTGGAATTAACAATTTACGCTTATGAACAATTATACCACGATGTTGTGTTTTGGTTATATGTAACAGAATTACATAGAACATATCATGGATATGTATATAGATTGACATTTAGAACTTTAGATGGATTTACACATATGCATGTAAATTATGAGGTAAAATATTTACCAACTATAGATCATGACGGTTTTGTATTGTATAATAGTATGAGTGTGCAATGTTTGGGTGTACAACGTTGCGTGGAAGATGCCATCCATATAGATCAAGTTGTAAATCGAATTTATGCCGAACAGGTTAAAAACATTTTAAATTATATAGGCGGTAGTATTCATACCCGGAAGCATGTGAAAGAGATGAAAATTGTTGAGGAAATTGGTACGGAATTGAAAAGACTATTTTGTGTAATAATAGCACCTAATTTTATACAAGGTTATCGTTCAATATATCGTGAAATGTATAAAAATATGGCTTATTTAGATCAATGTAAAAATGTGTGTAGATTTTTTAATAGTCATTTTTGCGAATGTTCATCGTTTCAAGTGTATATCCCGTTTGTACCATTTAATGAGACAGATTATACTATACGTTATCAAATTCGTAAAGTACACGGTTTACCGATTGTTAATACTAGGTTAACAGATGATTTTTTTACATTGAAAGAGTCGATGGATTTTTTAACAAAGGAATTTTTGAATAATGCAGATTTAGTTGCTTATAAAGGCGGTGACATTGAACGTACTTTGTTAAATAATATGGGTGTGCGCTGTATTAATCTTGAAGTATTAGCATGTCCGAAATATGATGTGTTGTTGACCAAATATGGGTATGAACAGGAATGTTGTAAATATCATCTGGGTGATTATTTTCATTGTTCAAAACATGAGGTGAAAGTATTTTCGGAATTTGTTCAAAGGGTTTTAAAAGGACGGTGAACTTGTATAGTATGGGTAAAGATGGGTACTTTGCAAATTTTGAGTTATCTTTTACAAAAGCAACCCTATAACCCGATTTTGTGGACGTTATATTCAACTTGTCGATTTTTGCGTGCTTATAAACCACCTTTACAGAATAAGGAAATTCGAATTCAAGACTATGTACTTATTAAGGATTTTTGGTTGAAGGGAAGTTTTGAGGATATTCGAGATTTTATTGCTATTGATGATAAGGAAACAGAATGTCCTCCTCGAATGGCTGCTGTTTCGATGAGTATTTTTAACGAAGCTCTTACGGAACGCAAAAAAGTTGTGTATTCTGTCCCGTGTGAATGGTTACGACGAATTGCTGTACGTGATGGTTTTTTTGTTTTATTCCCGTCTGAATTTTGCTGTCGCGAAATCCTATATCGTTCCAATATGCAAATGATCCGCTGTCAATCGTTGCATATAGAACGGGAATATATGGTGGATGAAACATATTTTCATATCGGTTGCGGTCCATGTATTAAAAAGGGTGTGTCGATAATTGAAGTTTTTGCGGCAACAACATTGTGTGTTGGACTTCGTAAGTTGCAGTTCTATTTGGAAACAGGATTATATGTGAATGTTAGTGAAATGGTGTGCGCATTGGGGCGAAGTATCGAACAACTATATTATTATACTGAAAAAAGGGTGAAGAAGAAGAAAGTGGATGAGAAGAATGAAGAGGCTGAGATGGAAGTAGTAGAGTATGATTTAGAACTTTTAGGCGGTCTTTTTATTCGAAAATATTTAGCACATATATTAGTATGTATTAAATGTCATAGATATATAACAGATTTCTTATCCCTGTTAGATCAATCTGTAGAACATCACCCGTTTCCAGCACATAGGGAAGTTGCTGCTGACGGTTATAATAATTTCGGTATACCTATTTTACATTATGTACTTGATGCTGATTTTGATGCGTTGAGAGGCAAAGCATTTTACGGTGTGATTAACAATGAATATGACGCTTGTGATGTAGTTGATAATTTTATGTGTAAATATGTTATAAAAAAAGATGACGCAACCAATTATAATAAATAGATTGATAGACGCGTTTATTAGTACGGGTAATCTATATATATTACGGTATTTCGAATCTTGTGAAATATATGGCTTTGTCTATATAAGGTCATCGGAGATATTTCATCTATCACGATTAAGTCCATTTTTTCATATTTTTCGTTTAAAAGAACGTTATCGTGCATGGATTATTCATACGTTAACAGATAAACATTTGATTTCAAAGTTTAGTTCGAAAATTTTACTTGCTATTATTTTTTAAAAAAATGGCTACATCAACTAAAACGTATTATTTTGAAACATTAAAAGATGGGGAGAAAATTAAAACTGTGTTAGCCAAGTATCTTGAAGCAACAGAATTGATTTATTATCGTTATATAGTATTACCTACACACACTCCAAGATGGAAAAGAACAATTGGTATTTTACAATTTGAAAAACGGTTTGGGGAAACTATTGTTCGATGAAAGTTTGAGAGCGATACTGTGTATATGGATGTATTGATAAATGCAAAAAGACCGCTGATATTAGTGTTTATGCGCATGTATATATTAGCGGAATATCATGGTTTGAGTTTTGCTAAAGATACAAAGTCTTCAGAACGATTTGAACTTATTTGGACAATAGTTTTGTAGTAAAAAACGATCAGACCTTATTTGGACAAATTATATACAAACAATATATAAAATAAGTATCTGTATTTAGTTGGTTAGTCTGTAGGATGATGTCTTTACATGCATACCTATTATGGCGTAGTACAAAATTTAAATAATTTGAAAAATGAAAAAAAAGAGGTATTTTTTAATAAATTTTTGATTATGAATATCTACAAATTGTATTTATTCACGTATAAACGTGCAAAATTTAAAAAATGACGTCATAGGAATTTAATAAGCAACATAAAATAAATTTCGATATATTTTGCGGTGTAGTAGTGAATGTTTTTTTGGCCACAAAACAAGTAGCGAACAGGTTCAATGTATATCGTGGGGAGGGGGAGTGAAGAAAGATGAAAGATGGTGGAAATCTACAATGGTGTAAAAAACACGTCGTTTGATTTAAAAAATAATGCTTCGGTGAAAAAATACACGTCGTTGTTTTTTTACGTTGAATTTCAAAAAAGAAGAAATAAAGACACAAAAATAAAGGTAATTTTTATTGATGATATTGATAAACTGTTGGCATATGATTTTTCAGTTTTTTTCCTACAGCTAACGCTCCTCCTTGTTGATCAATTCTTGCTGTTGACATCTTTTTGTTGTGTATTAACCGTTTTCTAATTCTTTTTTCTTTGCGATTTTTGACTTTTTTTTTAAGATATTTTTGACCGTTTACAATATTATTTGTAACTGCACGTTGTAATATATCACCTATCTTGGGCATGATGGTATTAGGAGTTATATTACCCCCTTTTTGATGTTGTGGTATGTTGTAAGCATAGGGGTTACCAGCATAGGGGTTAATACCGTATCCAACCGTACTACTCCCTTTTTGGCTTTTTCTCACTCGTGGCATTTCTCCAAAGTATCTTAACGACACGCTTTAATTTAAAAAAATTTCAGAATGGGCTGGAATTCGTTGGGAGGCTTTTAATCGAAACATTTGATTCCCACGCATAACGCTATTAATGTGAAAAGACGTCTTTCAGGCGTCATTAGCAAATCTTGCTGCAGCATCTGTAGTATGATTGGCGTCTATACACGCACCTTTTGTGTTACATAAAGCATATTGTGCAACGTTGTGGCCATATTTTCTATCGATTTGCTGTCTTGTACGACGTCTACCTGTATATTTTGAGATTAAACGCCCACACGCTATTGTTTTTTTCCATGAAAACAAACCCTTTCCGGCGTTTGGAATATTGGAAGGTTTAATACGTAGATTATCTTGTTTTGCTAAGTGAATCCAACATTTTGGCGTGTGTGCCGTACACGTTTTCGACATCTTTTTTGTAATAATATATCGCTGACACATTGTTTTGATTTTCGAATGCTTTGTCTGGTTTGCCGTCGTCGTGGATTTTGAAACTGATAACCTCGAATAAAATTAGTTACAAAACGACCACTCATTTTTTTAACATACTACTGTAACACTGATATATTTATCGTACACACGCTCAATATATTCTATGTGTTCTTGTAATTTTAGATTCGACATCAGGTGGGACATGTGATTGTGCCAAAAACAGAAGTAACCTTTGTTGCAAATCTGAGGGTTCTACTTTATATATTAAGCCCTGATCTTTGGCGTAACTAACAAGAGCTTCTTTAAACAAAGTAGGTGTAAAAATTATACATTCATCATTATCTTCCACTTCGTACCCTATTTTAAATTTATCATCTTCCCCTTTTGATAATTCGTTTTCCACATATACTGAAATGTGAATTGCAAATTTACTCATTGTTGCTCGCTACACATGTGTACTAAAAATGGGTCAAGGTACACCCTGTGGGTAACGTGTAATATGAACTGTGTTCAAATTCAAAATAGTGAAAATATTGATTTGGATTTTGCAGACGGTGAACAAGAACGAGAAGAAAAACAAAATAAAACTACAAATTGTTGCTGTTTACAATGGCATCGAAAAAACAAAAAGGAAACGATGGAAAACCCATAGATCGAAAGACTGTAGAATTGGTGAGAAAATTATTCTACGCATTAGATAAGACAAGACAATTTATTGCTCCGTGATAATCACACAATTACATTTTTTGTTTTACATTATTCCTTTTTTACTACTAATGTTACTTATTTATTTAATTAAAATAAAGGAGCTGACACCCCAAAATAACCATAAGGCTAAAAGACTGGGGCCAAGTAGCACAATTAATCAATAATTGTAAGATTGATCTTACAATAATTACGATTTTTTAAAGCATAAAGAAAAATGAGAAATGTAAAGAAAAGACAATCATTTTTAGGAATAAAGAAAAAATTAATACTGATTAATAAAAGCAGCTTTAATTTTTCTCTTAAGTTGTAAAAATGTCATCTGTTTATCAGCTTCACTCAGCACATTCCATGCTTTCACTCCCTGATATCTAATATTAAATAATCCAAAATTTGTTCTTATTTTCGGCAAAGAAAAACAAAGATTTGATGAAAGTCTAGTATTATATGAATGTATTTGATAGACAGGAGTAAAGAGATCATTTAAACTCGAGGGCAAAAGTTGTCGATGATATTTGTACATAAACATGGTCATACGTAATGTAATGAGATGGGTGAACTTTAAGATTTGGAGGCGCTTAAAAAGAGGACTTGAGTGTTCATCAAAGCGAGAAAAGGTGATAACACGCATGGCTTTCTTTTGAAGTATAATAAGTGGTTTAAGTGTGGTTGAATATGTGTTACCCCAAATTATCAATGCATAGATAAAAAATGGGTATATTATTGCATATGTATAACCGGGAAACAAAAGCTGTTCACGCCGAACGATTTATTGAAACTATCAAACAGAGTATAGGTCGTTCGTTGACAACTCTCGATCATTAAAAATCTACCGTTGATTGTTGAAAGATATAACGAGTCGCCGCATAGGGGGTTATATAATTTAACACCGTTTGATGTATATAAAAAAGAAAAAGAACCTAGTGCTTTTCAAAGGATAAAAACCCTGCTTAACAATAGTGCTCCTACGTTGCGGCTTTTAAAAGAGGGTGATATCGTACGAATAGCGAGAATTAAAAATAACGCGTTTGAAAAATCCAGTTTAAGACGGTGGGTAAAAGAGAAATTTCGTATTAAAAAAGTGTATATAACCGATCCTGTAACATATTCGCTTGAAGATTTGAAAGGTGAAGTGGTCATGGGTATATTTTATCGTAACGAATTGCAGTCGGTATGAATATACAAATTGTTAGCAACGCTATTAATCAAGCTGGCGGTACAAATTATACAAATGAATTTGTAATGCTGTTGCCTATGATGTTGGACGCTGAAAATAGGGAACTGTTTATGCATGTTTTAAATATATCGTACCCGTTGACTATTGAAAATGTTCTAAAAGAGAAATGCGGTGTTCGAATTACACTTCATTTTCCCACAACAAGTAATTCGGGTATCGCAATTAAATACAAAACGGATATGATTTATATACCCTTGGGGTATTATTCATTAAAAGGACTTATAAGTATTTTGAATAGTTATGTTTACGAATATGATGTGCGTTTTACGGTATTAAATAGCGGTCGAATTGGTGTTACATACAGTATTGAAAGCGAATATTGGCATTCCGACACTAATATTGTTACAACAAATAGCGCGCCTCTTCAAATATATCAAACTTTTAGCCAAAATACTAATGAAGGTACTGAATTTGAGATGGAACTTACGGAATCATTACAATATATGTTGGGTTTAAGAAAAATAGTGGTTCATTCTTCGGTCGAAAGATTAAAAAATCATACCACTTATTTTAACGAAACACGACATCTTGTTTCAGCTGAAGAATTTAACGCGTTAAAGTATTGTGACGTCGTCGTTGTCGTCGTCGTCGTTGTTGTTGTGCTTGTTTGGGTTCTCTTGGTTTTATTTTCCCAACCCGTTGTATTTTTGGATCTGTAGCGTAACACGGGTTTAATTTAGGAGGTGCGCAAATTTTACCTGACGCACGTTCTTCAACCGTAGCTGCTTTGTTTGGTAACATATACAAACTGTTTTTTATATCTTACACCTTTACCCCTGAGTAGTTGCGTATACAATTCTTCATCCATTATCCTATTTGCTCGGTGTTTACCCATATAATGAAATTTCTTTCATTTCTCATCATATATGTTTAAAGTAATTACCAATTTTGTATAATTTAATACACCCACCTGTAAGTGTTTTGTAATATCGTGTGCAAAAACTTGTTCCAATACAAATTTTACCTTTTCGTCTAAATCGGTCACATTCTTGACATTAATTAAAAACTGTGGTAATTCTGATTTTACAGTTTGATGTGATAAGGGGTATATGATCCGATTATCGTTAACCTGTTCATATTTCTGAAATATTACATTTTTTTTAAAGTATACAAATGAAATGGATTTCCAAATCTTGATCCTGCAAAATCTTGACCCTCATAAAATGTACCACCATTTATGTTTATTTCTGCACCTGTAAGTTTACTCGTAACATCCATTTTTCTAGCAACACTAAACTTAAACCCCCCTAACAAACCCTGACAATCCGCAACTGTATAATACAATTGTTTATTACGAGCATTTAAAATAGTTTCGGCTGTATATTCATATTTCACAGGTGGTAAGTTCTTTGGGACGATCTGCTTTAACCTCGAACCAAATCTTTAACATTTTTTTATTCTACCACACATTCAATATTTACAGTACCGCTACTGAATGGTATTAATGTGTGTGTTGTATCGTATAAACCAATTTTTAACTCGTTAATTCTACTCTTGATAAATTGCTGTCTAGTATCAGGTGGAGTATACACACACAATGACCCGTTTCCACGATCTTTTTCTTTTAAAGGTACAATTGCAAGTAATGGCGCGTATGTGTCGCCTACAATTGACATCTCCAACTGTTCGCAGTATATAAACATTTTATCGACTCCATCACTTATATCGGGTAATTCTGCACCCATAAAAGTACATGCAAAATTATTATCACCCAACTCATTTGCCACATTCATCAAATCATAATACTTTAACACGTTAAATTCTTCAGCTGAAACAAGATGTCGTGTTTCGTTAAAATAAGTGGTATGATTTTTTAATCTTTCGACCGAAGAATGAACCACTATTTTTCTTAAACCCAACATATATTGTAATGATTCCGTAAGTTCCATCTCAAATTCAGTACCTTCATTAGTATTTTGGCTAAAAGTTTGATATATTTGAAGAGGCGCGCTATTTGTTGTAACAATATTAGTGTCGGAATGCCAATATTCTCTTTCAATACTGTATGTAACACCAATTCGACCGCTATTTAATACCGTAAAACGCACATCATATTCGTAAACATAACTATTCAAAATACTTATAAGTCCTTTTAATGAATAATACCCCAAGGGTATATAAATCATATCCGTTTTGTATTTAATTGCGATACCCGAATTACTTGTTGTGGGAAAATGAAGTGTAATTCGAACACCGCATTTCTCTTTTAGAACATTTTCAATAGTCAACAGGTACGATATATTTAAAACATGCATAAACAGTTCCCTATTTTCAGCGTCCAACATCATAGGCAACAGCATTACAAATTCATTTGTATAATTTGTACCGCCAGCTTGATTAATAGCGTTGCTAACAATTTGTATATTCATACCGACTGCAATTCGTTACGATAAAATATACCCATGACCACTTCACCTTTCAAATCGTCAAGCGAATATGTTACAGGATCGGTTATATACACTTTTTTAATACGAAATTTCTCTTTTACCCACCGTCTTAAACTGGATTTTTCAAACGCGTTATTTTTAATTCTCGCTATTCGTACGATATCACCCTCTTTTAAAAGCCACAACGTAGGAGCACTATTGTTAAGCAGGGTTTTTATCCTTTGAAAAGCACTAGGTTCTTTTTCTTTTTTATATACATCAAACGGTGTTAAATTATATAACCCCCTATGCGGCGACTCGTTATATCTTTCAACAATCAACGGTAGATTTTTAATGATCGAGAGTTGTCAACGAACGACCTATACTCTGTTTGATAGTTTCAATAAATCGTTCGGCGTGAACAGCTTTTGTTTCCCGGTTATACATATGAAATAATGTAAAGCCATATTTTTTAGCTAAATCTCTTTTTAGTAAAGAAAATTCTGTACCCTCATCGCTTTGAACTTTTTGCGGAATTTATTGGCTACATTTCGGGCAGTTTTTGTTTTCAACGGGCGAACAAATGCATACCGTGAATAAATATCAACACACACAAGTAAATAACGATATTGATTATTAAATCGTGACAAATTATTTAGATCTGCTAAATCAATACTCCATTGTGTATTATATGAAGCGCCATTTGTGACAAAATACCAGCAATAATGTGTATAGAAAAATTAAATGTATCAAAAGTTCATATTTTTATGGTTAAAATGCAAAAACAAATGTATCAGAATTTCTTTATGTATCAAAAGTTCATATATTTATGGTTAAAATGCAAAACAAATGTATCAGAGTTTCTATATAAAAGTACAGCAGAGAACGGTCAGCAGTCTCTAACGTATAAAAGTTGCAACACTTTATGTTGTACAAATATAATGCAGAAAACATGGCGGACTCTGTGGAAGCTTTTTTGCTAGATTTTACCAGCTCTTTTGGAGCAGGCAGAAAGACACATTCATAACGATAATATGAATATTGTTGAATATTTAAGGCGACGTCTTCATGATTACTATACAGCATTAAGTATTATCGTCATGCATTGTATCGAACAAAATATTTGCAACGAAATTGTCGTGATGTTGCGAGAGATTCTTCACAGACTGTTCGCTAGTCTTGAACGTTACAATGAACTTTGTGATTTCAATTTTGATGGTGACGATGCATCCGAGATTTCTTCAAACCTATCGTTTTCGGAGGAACGTACACATGAACCGGGCAGGCCTAGAATAAATGTTTCTCCTGATACTTTAGTGGATTTATACAACCTCCATAATTCCTGGAGTATTGTTTCCAGACAAACTGGCGTGTCATATAGAACGCTTTTGCGACGAAGACATGAGTATGGGTTGCAGGTTGCGAATACGGTTGGTCCACGAAATACTTACACTGAAATTGGTGAAGAACAACTTTGCAATGCAGTGCGAGATATTTTAAGAACTATTCCTGATGCTGGAGAAACGTACGTCATTGGTGCACTGAGGAGTCGGGGCATCCACATACAGAGGTGGCGTGTTCGTAATGCAATCCAGACTGTAGATCCTATCAGTCGAGCTTTAAGACGTACTTTTGCAGTTGTAAGACGAGTATACAATGTTCGATGCCCCAATGCGTTGTGGTGAGTAAGCATGCACTAATCTATTTGCGGTGTTATTATGTGAATATGTGTTATAAGAATACTATTTCATGTGACAATGACTTGTGCCAATACTAATTTGCTTGTAGAATACTGGTATAATATCATGCCTTTTAAATTCAACAGGCACATAGATGGTCACCACAAGTTGATAAGATGGAGGTGTGTTATCCATGGAGGCATCGATGGGTTTAGCAGGTGCATAGTATTTCTCAGATGCTCGAACAACAATAAAGCGGACACTGTCCTTTCATTATTCATAAATGGAGTGAGAAATTTTGGTTTACCATCTAGAGTTCGATCAGATTATGGAACAGAAAACTATTTTGTTGCAAGGTACATGTTAGAACATCCTGCTCGAGGCGTCAATAGAGGCAGCATGATTACAGGGAGGAGTGTCCATAACCAGCGGATTGAGAGACTATGGCTGGAAGTAAAAAAGCTCGTTGTAACATACTATAGAAACATTTTTTATTATTTGGAGCAGTGTCAGTTATTCGATCCACTAGATGAAATTGCTATGTATGCATTGCATTACGTTTATTGCCCACGTATTAACCGGGCCTTAGCTAAATTGATGAACAGTTGGAACAATCACCCAATGAGTACCATGAATAATCGCTCACCCTTGCAACTTTGGCATTCTGGCTTTCATGCAGCAAACACCAACTACTCAGAAGTTCAAGGTGTTCTTGATGATACTAACCAAGATTGGGATGAATACGGCATTGATGGAGATGGACCAATTCCTGATGCCGATGATGTTGTTGAAGTGCCAGAAACACATTTAACACTCACCGAAGCACAGCTGAATCAACTGCAGATGTTGGTTGATCCTTTGGCTAATGATGATAATCATGGCATAAATTTATATAACATGACAATAGGAATTTTTAGAGACTGGTCTGGTTCTGATTTGGGGGTGTAAAAGATAGGTTTCCCACAGTTTACATTTGGATATGATCAAATGCGCACGTCTACACTATTATATTTTTATATCAATTGTGATATTACGTTCCTAATTATTGCATGTATCCTAAGCCAGCCTGTCTACTTTCCATGTGGAAGGAGACCGGAGTGCCTGGAGGAAACCCACGATTTCCGGCATAGCGTTGACTTGCTCTTTTCGCATGAAAGTTGAAGTTCCGTTACTGAGTATCGAACCCACAACTCACAGGTGAAAGGCGAGGGCTCTAACCACTGCGCAACTGGAGGAGCCGTATTTCTAATTGAATGTTATAAATTTCTAATTGAATGTTATAAGACA